TATTAAATCTCTGACTAAATACTAGAAGCAGCATTAACTGCTGAAAACAAAGCTATAAAGGACAATAGCAGTGGGTCACAATTCAGTGCTTTCTCATTTCAGGAGAGTCTTTTTCTTTTGTGGGTTTGTTTTTCCCTTCTTCACCTCCATTAAAAGCTAACAACTGCTGAAATGAGATGTTACGACACATTAAGAGGGACTAAATACAGCCACTTACTTAGAAACCAATACCATTTGGTAAAACAAGAGTAAGCAGATCAACAGTTACATAATAGATTGCATCTCCCACACAATATTAATCAAAACCAAGCAAACAGACCCAAAATAACGAGCTCCGAAAGAAAACTCACATGAACGCAGGCAAATTTAATTAATCTGAACACTGATCATCAGTCGAAGACAAATACCAACCCCAGATAAACACAGTAACAAACACATGTCATGAAAATTCAGTTAATTTTTTCCTTTCTCGATAACCAAAGTTGAAGGAGAGGTTTCCTTCTAAAAAGGCCAAACACAAAAGCACAGTTTATCTGTGTTTGGACTCCATGCCTAAAACATGAGACTTGTTTCTGTTTAGATCTCAACCACCCTTGCAGAAGATGAGGAAAACCAGATGTCACACTCTGAATAAAAACACACCGCTGAGTCAGACATCAAAACTTAAAAACACTTAAACCTGTCCAGCAACCAGGGAATATTGCATTAAAATTTGTACGTTTGACATTCAGTTCTAGTAATTATCCTCTGGACCTCCCTAATAGTGGTTGACCATAAATTAGATCATGGCTAGATGCAGACATTCACCGTTTGGTGGAGAAAAACCATCTGCCTGCAAATAAAACAAGCAGCACTCTCCACGTCAGCTATTGTGCAGCTTCCCCCTCATTAATGGCAAGCCGCTTTGGGATACAGTTAAGGACTGCCTTTGGTAGATGTTCTTGCAACTAGGTTCAACTTCCAGTGCAAAGAAGCCATACAAGCTATGCTCATGGCTTCATCCAGCTCTTCCTGAGATACTGGCTAGACAGCACAGTGGCACAGGGAAAAAAAAAGCCAACCTGATAGAACACACAGCACTGCTCAACACAGTGCAAAGCACTCGTATCAACTATTGTGGAAAACAAAAACCCAAAGCAATAAAGATTTTAAAACATTTTCAGATCATTTTACTATCGAAGTTGGCTATTCATTTTTACGTATATAAATATATATGTATCAACTGTATCAGTAATAATCCCTGCTCTGCTCACAACAGCTTACCAGCAACTCAAGCTAACCACAGAATCACAGCATGCCCTGGGTTGAAAAGGAGCACAGTGCTCATCCAGTTCCAACCCCCTGCTGTGTGCAGGTCACCAACCAGCAGCCCAGGCTGCCCAGAGCCACATCCAGCCTGGCCTTGAATGCCTGCAGGGATGGGGCATCCACAGCCTCTTTGGGCAAATTTTATTGTTCCAATAAAGGCAGCTACTCAAGAAAGGACATTAAGCCAAAGCAAACCATCAGAACTTTAAATTTTAGTATTTGGTAACAAAGTGATGGCAAGCACGACCCAAATGTCACCACACACTGGCTTCTATGCTGATGGGGAACTGCAGACTCTTTGCTCACAAGTGACAGCTTCAGAAAGAAGTCCTATTTACACTTCAAAAATAGACACAAGTTCATCCTTGCAGCCCCCCCACGCCCGGACAGCAGGCGTCACACCTGCCATTTGTTTTGTCCCTAGCTCTCATTACTTCCAGTGTCTGCAACTCAGCCTTAAAGTACCCTTGTTTTAAGAACAAGCAGGACAGATTATACCAGGAAAAATTCAAATACCCGAAGGGAAAAATGAAAAATGCCAACTTAATTACACCTGCCACACAGCAGGAGACACAGAGAGCTGCAATCTTGTCTGGTTTGCAGACAAGACGCCCCACACATACCAGGAACTTCTCCACTCTCCCCCACTTTATTGATTATAAAATGAACTCTACAATTGTTTCTGCATTCTTGAGCCAAGGTCAACCCCTCCTGAAGACTGCTCCAGTCCTCACTGCATTCACCCCCTACTGCACTCCTTCCAAACCTTTACTCCTCTGATACCTGTCACCTGAACAAGTTTTGGATCAATGGGACACAAGCACAGGAAGAGGGAAAAATAGAAAAGCACGCTTCTTTTGAAACATACAAGGACTGAAAAACTCCAGGTCGAATACAGAGCTCCTACCTGCACCACAAGAGGAAAACATTCATAAGCTAATAAGTTTTCAGAATAGTAATAACGCAGTTTTTCTTCTAAAGTATTAGCTGTTAGGCACCAAAGGGATAAATCCTGTTATTAACCTTCTATTTCAAAGAAGTTCCAAGGGAATCAAATACATGCATGAGAGAGCAACTGATGCAAATGAACAAGAACCTCCCGAAGATGACAAGTGTTACAGTCACAAAATCAATCAAACCCTCTGCAGTTTGCAGCACTGTCGGCTCAGCAAGAAGCGCTATGAAAAAGCAAAGTGCCTGAATTACCAATGTTTGAGATCTTAATTAGAAGATGAAAGCTCTTTTTAAGGTGTAACAAATTCCATTCAACTGACATTTCAGAACTAAAATTATGCATTCTTTAATTGATTTTTCCAAACTATACCATTTGACAAGTGAAGTAAGAAGCCCTTCATGAGCCGCGCTAAGAAAAAAGGGAACATCCTCAACTTCTTCTCATTGCCTTCTTTATCTGTAGTACTACTTAACAAAAACATTTAAATGAAGAAATCTGTTACAGCTAAGCCAGCCATTTCCAGCTGCCAAACTAAAGTTTAGTTCCATTTTAGTACCAGGAGACTTGGATTCTAATTCATACAGTCAAAATGAGGATTACTTGTTGACATCAATTTTGAACGGCTCAAAATAACTCAGTCTTCAAGTTTGGGCAGTCAGGATGAAGGGGCACGAGACTGCTAACAGAACTGCCAGCAGCAGTTTAACTGTTTTGCTGTCATTTGTAGCTGTATGTCATGCTGAAGGCTGCATTAATATGAAATTCTACATAATCTCAACTCTGTGCAAGCCTGATAGAGCAGAGAGGCTGCAAAGAAAAAGCTTAATGCCTAGGTTAATGCCACATGAACGAGTCATTACACTGATGTTTCTGAACATACATTGATCAAAAAAAAAAAAAAAAAAAAAGCTTCCCATACAATAAGTATTTTCTGCTTACATTACTGATTATTTATGGACCTATCTTGCAAAGATAAATGGAAACACAGATGGGGCTTCCTGCCACAAAACAACCTACATGCTGACTGACATGCAATTAAAATGGCCATGCACATCTAAATAAGACTCAAAATGCCGCCTTGACCAAGTTTAACTGGTCTCCAATTTAAGTCATGCTTCCATGATGAATCCCATTGATGCTTTTATGCTACCCAGTATTGCAATTAAATTAATATTTTTAATTATATTCCAAGAAAATGCTAATGGTACAACTCTGCAATGACAGATTACAGCCTCACAGGTCATCACCATCTGCCCATCTATATAAAATCACAGAATACCCCGAGCTGGAAGCAACCCATACAGAACAAGTCCAACTCCCAGCGCACTAAGTAGCCTAAGAAAAATAAAGGTAACAACTTTTTTTTTTCCCCCTAAGAGAGCTACACCATGTAATTAGAGTTTCCCCTATCCTACACAAGGCAACGCATCCAAAAATTGTTTCCTTTTAATGCTGTGACAGATGTAAATCAGAAGTGACGTTCACATACGAATGCACACTGAGACACTACATCCAGCTGCCTTGGGACAGAGGCAAATAAGAGTCTGTGAGCACACTTCCATCATTACCTGTGTCCTCCCTCTCTGGGCAACCGCTTAAAATACAACCAGCCAGGGAAAGAAGATTTAGGTTGGATGTCGGGGGGAAGTTCTTTACTATGAGAGTGGTGAGGTGCTGGCACAGGCTGCCCAGAGAGGCTGTGGATGCCCCGTCCCTGGAGACAGAGACGTTCAAGGCCAGGTTGGATGGGGCCCTGGGCAGCCTGGTCTAGTATTAGATATGGAGGTTGGTGGCCTTGCATGTGGCAGAGGGTTGGAGATTCATGATCCTTGAGGTCCCTTCCAACCCAGGCCATTCTGTGATTCAGCCTTCACAAACCTCTCCCACAGCCAGCAAACACACAGTTATCAGGTGAGGAGAGACAAAAAAAAAAAAAAAAAAAAAAAGAACACCATGACCCCAATAGGATACGACAGGAACCCCCAAGAATTCCAAACAAACTTTCCAGCATTGTTACCCCTGAATGGCAGCACTGTGACAGAAAGTTCTCAGCGCCCGCCATGGAGGAGCCCAGGCTTCTCTCACCCACCATAGGCAGCCCTGGAGGCTTCGTGTGACTGCACACACAGCAGGCACACCGGGACCTCCTGGGAGCCTACCTGAGTCTGGCGGGAGCTGCTGCAGGCTGGGAGAGAAAAGGCACAGCCCTGAAAACACCGACGGTCGAGGCTTAGCGCTACTGACTGAACTTTAATCCAAACAAGAAGCGAAGCACAGCCTCACCTCGCAAGAACAAACTGTTTTGAAGTACGCCCAGCCAGTGTCGCTGCCCATTGCCAGCAGTACGACAGAGAGCAGTGCTGTAACCCCCAGCGCAGGCACACGGAGGAGATCGCACCCCTTATTCCATCACAGCACACGGAGCCAGGCAGACACCCCGCCCCCGCCCCCCCCGAGGTAACGACGAGACAACAAGGACCTCACTCCGGCAGCCCCCGGTACCGCAGCACAACACCACAGAAGCGCTCCCGGACAATCCCGGCCGTCCTGCCTTTGTACGCCGGCCCCGCGACGGAGACAGGGAGCGATGCGGCACCCCGGGGCCGCTCCTCCCCCCTCCCTCAGGAGGAGCCGAGCCCTGGCCGGGCAGCACAGCCCGCGGGCGACCCGCACCCTTTCGGACGCTCCCCAGGAACGGCCGCCCCGTCCCGCAGCCCGCTAGCGGAGCTGGGTTTACCTGTCCGCCCCGCCGGGAGCCGTCCGTCGGGCACACGCTCGGCGCTGCGCCCCGCGCCGCCCCCCGGCCCGCTGGCTGAGGCGCGCTCTCCCCGCTCACGACATGGTTTCTCCCAGCGCGGCGAGCTGCCGCGGCCGCGGGCGCTCCCACTCGGCACGGCCGCGGGGGGGGTAAGGGGGGGGGAGGGGGGAAAGCCCTTCGCCCCGCTCCCGGCCTCCTCTAATGGCGGCGGCTGGAGTGGCCCAAAGCAAAATAAACCCCCATACGGCCAGCAGCCCGCACGTCAGCTAGGCCTGCCGGCCTGCCCCGCACTCATTGGCCGAACGTGCGCCTCTCATTCCGCCAATCGGCGCGCGCCTCTTTGGAGAGAACGGGTGACGTCATCCCTACCCATGGGGGCGGGGCGGAGGGGGAGGAGGCGGGACGCTCATTGGCCCCGCCCCTCGCGCGCCTGCCGTTCTCTCCTCGCGGCGGTTTCAACGGCGCGGGGTGCTGTGAGGGAAAGCCTCCCGCGGGGCTCAACGGCCCCGGACGGCCGTGCGCAGGTTAAGCACGATAGTGAGCCTTTCCAGCGAGCATCCGCATCAACTGAAATCTAAAAGCACTGATACAGAGTTTCCTCTGGAAGTAATCCCTCTTAAGCACTGCTTATGGCCCCCATAAACGGCTCTCATGGCAGCGGGCTCTGAAAATGCCTCTTAAAATACCAACTTCTTTAGCAGCTGTCCTTCCAGTTTTCTCGCAGGAAAGGGGCGTTCTATGCAAGATGAGACCCCAGTGAGTGTCAGTGCCCACCCACCGCAGCTGCCCACGACTTGCTTACATTCTCACACGGCGGTGTATTTCTGCACAGAAATGAACTGCCGCGATCCCCTCAGCACCTCAATTCCGGCGCAGCAGGTGTGGAATCGAGCGCTGCTCAGCCAGACTCCTCTTTAAGTTCTCGGATCAAAAAACCCTTCTTTGCCCACATCTCAGCTCTCCTCTCCTGGTCTTGCATCACTTGATACCTATCTGCTTTTCCACACACTTTTTGTTTCAGGCTTCTGCAGATGTTCTAGCGCTTTTATCTCCGTGGTTTCGTGCACTATTCCCAGCCAAGGCAATGGAGGAGCCTCCATTAACAACTAACTGCTCATCCCTCAGGGTTGCACTGGGAAGCTCGTCCCTGCTGACGAACTGGAACCATTCCTTTTCATCGAATCACAGAGTCATCGAGGCTGGAAAAAAAACCACTAAGTCCAATCCCAGCCCACCCCACCATGCCCACTGCCCACATCTCTCAGTGCCATCTCTGTGGTCAGAAACACCTCCAGCGATGGTGAGCCCATCACTCCCTGGGCAGCTGTGCCAGTGCCTCACTGCTCTTCTGGAGAAATTATTCCTAACAGCCAACCTGAACCTCCCCTGGCACAGCCTACAGCCATTACCTCTCATCCCATCTCTGTTACCTGGGAGGAGAGGCTGACACCCAAAGCTTTGCCATGAAGGAAAAGCACGCACTGTGCTCAGAGCAGCAATGCCTTGCGCTGGAAAAAATGCCTTTTGTCCAGGAGACAAGCATCTAAACTGGAGTCAGGATGAGTAAAATTAAATTGTTTCAGGAGACCAAAACAGAAATATGTTTCAATTTGCAATTAAACTAGTCCCATACACGCACAGAAAAGTATGGAGGAGTGTAAAGTGGGGATAACGAGATTCATCTTTCTGAAACCAGTGATTTACTGAAATCTCTTTCTATCTTCACTGAACAAATTGTGCTCTCATCTGAATCTTTGGGAAAAATACTACCAATTACATGTATTTAGCTATAGAAAGGATTGGGACAACAGTATTTTCTTTCACACAACCATATGGAAAATCCAGATAAGGTTGGATAAGTCATGTGAAAGAAATATTTCTCAAGAAATCATGCCATCTTCCTGCTTAGAAATAATGCAGAAAATGCATCCCTTGCTCTTGAAGGAAAAGCAGTCCTCTAAACCAATTAGTGATGAGATCAGTCATAAAAGTTGCTACAACACTGCAATGATGGGAAATTTTCCCCAAAAAATGTTATAGATTAAACTGTCTGAAGAGATATGAAAATAAAAATAATACATAATTTAGTAGAACGTAGCAATTCAAATCCTTACAGAATATTTCCTAACCCTGTCAGGAAACCGTTTGATGGTCTTGTTATAAAAACATACTTTTAACAAAACACAGTGCCCCTGCAGCCCGTGAGCAGAATGCAATGTATTTTACAATGCAGAAAAAGACCTTTGAAGAAGGTAGGTTCATATCGCTTCAAAACCTTTTGTTGCATAGCAAGCAAAAATTACGACCAACTGAAAGAAAGACGTTTGAAAATTCTAGAGAGAAATGATCTTCCTGTCTGCATAACTATTCTGCAGAGCAGGAAGGAATGAAATGGGTAACTATGGTATAGGAAGGCAAACACACATGCAAAATTGAATTTGAAAATAGTTCTCAGGGCTGCTTATTTCGAAAGGGAATCTCAGCATGTTGGCAGTATTATTGGTAAGATCGGGTCACTGGCTGGATCTCAAAAGCTGCTGGCATCTTCTGCAAGGTTTACTTTGGAGGAATTTACCATTTGTTCTAGACTTAAACAACAGAGCACAATAGGAATGACCTGTCAACAATTCAGAGCATTGCTACTTACCCGTGTATTTTATCTGATTAAAGCCTTCAGAATTCTGATATGGAGAAAAAAAATCAGGTTCTAGCTGACTTGACATCTCAATTCTTGATAGATTTGGTATTTGACTACCTTATTCTTTCCTAATGTCAGAAAGACGATTCTCTTTATTGTAGAGGTAGCAGAAATTGTAGGTAAGTACTAATTTCTCATATTCCACTCTAAATTTTAACTTTGTTCCACCAGATAAAGGACAAATTTTAACTGCCTAGTAATGCATTTGGAACACTCAGACCTGCTTGACAGCTTATGATGCTATTTGAGGGACTTTGCTTTGCAGAGCTGAATCCACTCGTGTCTTGGAGAGTATGTGCCTTCACAGACTGGCTGCGTAAGAAACAGAGCTGCCTTCAGTCACTCAGAATAAATATATATAGATATACTAGCACTGTTAGCAAGGTTCCTTCCCTCAGCCCTCCCTGACGTTACTGTGCTGATGCACCCTGCTCATAACCGAGCAAATGATACAGAATGCTATAATTGGGAACAAAGCTCTGAAACCATCCACAGGAGCAGATCTCTACATGTCGCATCATGGCATTCAGCTAAGCAAAACTGTACTTCAGGTAACCAAAAGACACATACCAGATTATTTTATGCTGGCACGGATTCTTTTCATATCACAGCAGAATTTTCTGAGTACAAGATGACATCTGGTTAGTGATGTCTAAGCACAATCTCTCCCTTATGCAGTTCTCTTTTCCCTGGTAACTACTCGCTCTCAGGCAGTGCTGGCTCCCATTAAGGCAGTTCATCCCAGCTCGCCCAGGAGCAGGGCTGTACATGCTCACCAGATGGTTCTTTCTCACCAGCTGAACTTTGAATACGCAGAACTCTCTGCTCACACCAGTGCTTCTCTTGCCTTTGCTTTATTCGGTGTTTCCTGGCTCTTTGTGATCAAGAAGGGCTTGCGACTGAAACTGAAACACTTAGATAAAAGGTAAGGAATAGAAACGCACAAAAATCTAAAGAAAGTACAGGTTTTGAAGCTGCTGAAAGCAGGATATTTTAAGTGGTTGGCTGATTTGTTACCATTTTTACATCACCTATATGAGTCAGCCCCAGCCCTCACACCCAGTAATCACATACTTGTGTCTCTTTTTACCATTTTAGTGTGGAACATAAAAATATCCAACTGCAGCTAGATCACTGCAAGAGGAAAACGTCAGAGAAGGCGTGATGTCCCGACTGTTCTTCCTTGCTGCATCTGTAGGGCGTTGTTACAGACTGCCATCCTCAGGCCTGGAAACAAGCTCCAGATATTTGCAACTGACCTGGGGAAGGAAGGTAGGCCCCTGCTCTGGGATTCCCACACACTCCCAGTTGTGATGGGGAAGTCATCACCTTCACACTAGTGCTGTGCTGTGCTCCCCGGGAGCTGCCTTTCTTCTACCTGCAGCTAGTTCTGCCCGTTTGTCAGCCTAGTTTTTAGCTGCTTTTCAAATAATGTCCTTCAGAAAATGTTGTCAGAGGCACCTTCTCCCAGAGATGGGCACAGTTCGCATAACACAGCACACCCTGACCCAAGCATTCCTCTCATTATTCAACTCCACGACTGCCCTGCTACAAAAGCACAACATGCGTTCACAAGGCCAGCAGCGGGGACATCTTATCTCTCTGGTACCACATGGTAGGAGACAGGCAGTTTTTGTTTTAGGGAAAAAGTAGCTTGGAAAGCTAGAAAATAAACAAATGCAGCAACACCTATTGTTAGGGACAACTGTGCAGAAATAGGACAGAAACGAGTGTTGAGTTGTTAGCTCTTCAGTCACACTGAAATGTGTTCCACTAGAAAGAGGCTAAAAGTTGAGAGCACTTGAAAACTCTAGCATGCACTTTTTTGGTCTTCATTTCCCTGTGGTTCTTCAGGGAGTAGAGGAAGGGGGTGATGGAGTAAATCCATCATGCTAGGGCTTTCCAGCTGAAGAGTTTGAGCCACCTGATCAAGGAATTTTAGAATCTTTCCTGGCTTGGGCAGACGCTCATTAAGTAAAGGAGTCTGTGCAGCACAGCCAACAGAAAAACAAGGCACACAAAGGAAAATGGAAAAGTGGGAGGTGATGGCAATGGCGATAATCCAGTGTGCTCATTCAGGCTCTGGGAGGATGCAGGATCTGCCCGTCCCAGATGGCAGGCACAGCATGGCTGCTGCAGTGGCTCTGAGCTTGCATCAGGAGGTCTGTCACAGCACAAGAAAGCAGCGGGGGGGGCTGGGGGACAAAGAAAAGAGGAGAAACAAGAGAGAATTAGGCAAGATGCAGAGCTGCATGTTAAAAACAAAGGGGAAAGAAAAATAAAAGATGGAAATGCAAAGCGAGCTCTTGGAATCTTCTCTTAAAGAAAGACGTCAGGGAAGACAATGAC